AGCACCACAGGATGGAGGAAGAAAAACACAACAGCAGCAAAGCCTGAGCTGCAGTATCAAAGGAAGCCAAACCAACCTAGCTCAAAACAAGCCACAGACATTTCTGCCAGCCTGCCAGCAAAAGGAATGAAAACGCTTGTGGTCTTTAAGCTGCCTGAGCTGCAGGTTGAGCTTCCGCTGTCTCTCAGCCTGACCCGTGCAAGGAGAGTCGGGTGCGATTTGCACCCAGATCTCTGGATGCCCCAGGCTGCAGAGGGACCTGCCCCACTTCCAGCCGGGCTTCCCCAGCACCACCTCCACACCCTTCGGGCAGGGATGGGGCACGGAAAAGAACCAGGAGTCTGCCCCAGGAAAGATTTAAACAACTTGAATATCAAATAGGTCCCTGCCCTGTAAGGACAAAACAGTAGCTAAGGCTGAAGTACAACATTTAATTGAATGTAACTGAGACTAAGAGTAAACAAAATTGAAATCCCTTAGAACTGTGTTTCTCCTACCAATGGCAACTAGGTGAGAAAACTTGCTCCTCCATCCTTAACATCACAAGTACATGCAAGTTTCAGAATGGCACAGTCGCCTGCTGGGATTTTGGAGCTCAGCAATACAAATGTGGCACTGGATTCTCTCAGGACCACAACAGCTCATGAGAGCTGTCTGTTCAGGACAGCATCCACCTCCCAGTGCTGGCAAAGCCAGCAACTTCTCCTGACGTCTGGGTAGCACAGAAAGCTTGGGGTGTCCTTCTTCATCCTTGTATCAAAGAGATGCTAACAAGAAGGCAAAGGAAATAAGCACAAATAACACTGTGCCAAAAGACCTTTCGTTTCAGCCCAACTCTGTGGAAAAGCAAGAGAGAAATTAACAGTGATTTTCCTTCCACAGATGCACCATCTCAGGGTGTGCAATCTATTTACACTGCAAGATGCAAGAAGCAGTTGGTGCACAAGAATGAGCAAGATGCCAGGGGCACCACAGACCCCATCGGGATGTTGAGACATGCATCATAAAACTCTGGCCACCCAATCCTGCAGTAACAGGATACATCTGTCCTTGGGCGGCCAGCTCTGCTGGTCACGGGAGAAAGAGGCAGGATTTTGTGCATGGAAATCATAGAATCATAGAATGGTTTGGGTTGGAAGGGACCTTCCAAGATGATCTAGTTCCAACCCCCCTGCCATGGGTAGGGACACCTTCCACCAGACGAGGTTGCTCAAAGCCCCATCCAACCTGGCCTTGAACACTGCCAGGGAGGCGGCAGCCACAGCTTCTCTGGGCAGCCTGTTCCAGTGTCTCACCACCCTCAGAGGAAAGAATTTCTTTCCTATATCTTAATCCTATCTTATAAGTGGATGGGTTAATGTCGTGACCAGAGTGCGACTAAAAGCAGGAAGTTTGGCTGTGTCAGGTGGAGGCACAGCAATCCTGTCGTCTGAGTGCAGACAGGCAGCAGCAGGAAGGTTTTGTCCTTGACTGTCACAAGGCAAGTCCCCTCCACCTCCTCCAGCCACCAGGTTTGAGGCATTATTTTTCCGTAATGAGTCCTTACTAAATCACAGCCCTGACCTTTCAGATCCTCACCCACACAAGCACTTCTGAGTTCCCAGAAAACCTCAGATGAAGCATCTTCCCCACCTTCCCTAAGCCAGGACCCAGGGATGATGCTTGAAGACCGGTTCAAAGCGGAAGGAGAACCTGAAGGTCCCAAACTCCCAACATGGTCAAATACGTGCAGGCCCTTCCCGCTCTCTGCCTTGGGAGAGACAGGGTTAAAAACAACAAGAAGTCACTTTGCTGAAGCTGTTTTTCTGAAATGAAGAAGAAAACCCAACAACAGAGCTGCCACGTTCAGCTAAATTTGCACTATCTCCTCCCCTGGACCTGTGGGATCCCTTCGGCTGGGAGTGCCTTCCCAGTGGCTTCTCCTTGAGCTCCCTCCCACAAAGGCAGAGGTATTCCAGAAATAGGAAAGGTAATAGGCTGGGGCTTTTTTTCCTTGAGAAAAATAGTCCTAGCACTCACAACGCACCCAACACAACCCAATCACAACGCACTCAGGGTGTGCCCCTCCACGGCGCATGGTGGCTTTGCCAATCCTCAAATCACTTTCGTAATTGTAGGAACTGTGGAAGCTGCTGCCAGAAGCCATTTTAGATCAAAACCAAGATCTAGAGACACAGCATAAATGGATGTTTTTTTCATTTCCAGGCCAGGCAGTGCCACTCGCACCTGGGTCTTCCCAGATTTAGCACTGGAGCATCATCAAATAGTGGGTAATGGATGTATCACACAGACTTTCACAGGCAAGACAGGTGCCCTCTTGTCTTTCTACAAAAGACTTTCTGCACTGTGTAGGAAAGCAATAACTCTTCCTAATAGCTACTGCATGAAGATTAAAAATACAGATAAAGTCACCACAACGTCATGCGTAGGTACTCATGAACCCTTTGGCCCACCTTCAGTATTATTTCAGGTCTGGGGAACACAGCAGAGCCTTCCTACTCAAAGGCTAGGATCTCACGCAGGGAGCCCTACAAACCCTTCCAGTACTTCTGGTTTGGGCACCTCTTATGATGCTTGAATACATCATCCAGCTGCTCAGAGCCTCACACATTGTTTTCACACTACTAAACCACATCTCCATCTTCAACTAGTGACACCCAGTGAAAGCAGCAGTATTGGAATAGGTCTCAGGGACCAGTACTCACCCGTTTGCTAATACTAAAGTAGTGGGCTCTGGAAATTATGCCCTCCAGGCTTTCTGTGAAGACTGATTTTACAAAGATGCAAAACCCCCTGGGTATTCTGCAGGCTGGACCCTAAAAACTAATTTTAGTTCAACTTCTTGCTCCCTGGATAGTAAAACACGTTCTGGCCCCTCAGCCTTCTTGGTCTACAAAGTCTTCCCCAGCTTACTAGGAAGGTTTAACTCTACGCTGTATGGGAGACAATATCTCTCCACTCATCTTCACAGAGGATATTATTTGTCAGTTTGGCAGAAAATCTACCACTTTGGCACTAAAATCCAGCATTTTTTTATTACAAGTAACCTAGCATCTTATGTAGCGGATAAGCGAGTCCTGCTTTGATGCAGAAGGACTATCTGAAGAGGCAATCAATGGGTAGAAATTGGCATTTCTGTAGCTTTAGAAGCTTGGAAGAGTCTGGGGAACAGACAAACTATTGACTTCCCTGCATCACCTCAACTGTACTTACTAAATAAGATCCCACACGTAGTATAAACTCTACCACATGCGTGCAGAAGAACAAAGACTTTCAGAGCCTTTTATAAATGAAACCTCCTTTGCGGCTAAAAAAAAAAAATTATCATGCTAAAACTAAAATACTGCAGAGGCTACAGCTGCACAAACAAATAAATGGTGTTTACCAGCAAAGGTATTTACTTACTGACAGTCAAGAAACGTTGGCTTGTAATAAAACGGTGGCATTTTAGATTCATATTTTGCTTTTGCTACACTGTTTCCATTTGAGGCCATAAACTGCAAAAAAGAAGAAAAAAACAGAAAGAATTAAAAAATTATAATGGTATTTTACCTTGCCCTCTTTTGTTTCTATAGAGTAATAAAATTATCGGGTTGGGGCCTCCCTTCGTTTACTGAGGTTTCCCCAGGACTGTGCACAGAAGGGATGCTGTCAAGACTGTGCCTGCAAGCAGGGCTCAGAAATTAATATTTATTATTATTGCCAGGGCTCCCCCCAGCTTCATACGATGCTAGGGACAGGTCCGTGTCCCAGTCACACATGCACCATTCCCACTGGTCCCCACGGGAGCAGAAGGCAGCACGTGGTGGCATTTTCCACTTACAGGCACGGGAACGAGATGGCTCCCAGGGAATCCAGCACAGAAATAGGCAATGAGAAGGCAAAACCTGACACTAATTGCAAGTCTCCATGTGTTACGGCTCCAGCAAGGTAGCAGTCTCCAACAATACGCCCTTTGCTTTGGATTAAATCACTTGTTTTGAAAGGATAATTTTATTTTTGCAAAGCCATGCCAGCAACCTCAGAAAGGAGCCTGAAGTATTAAAAATAATTAAAAATAAATAAATAAATACTTTAAAAAAATTCTACCTGCCCTGACAGCCCTCCATTCCTTCTGATCTCTTATAAAAATGGCTACTTGAGAACACTGCAAACAAAACCACATATTTCCCTATTCATAAATTTTCTTTCATGAAAATCCCTTTATAAGTGTAAATAACCCATCCTTTTCCAGGCAGCCATGCTAAATATGTTTTGTCTTGTGCACTCACTGGGCATGTGAAGGACAACCAGGGAATCAGGCCCAGCCAGCATGGGTTCATGAAAGGCAGGTCCTGCTTGACCAGCCTGATCTCCTTCTATGACCAGGTGACCTGCCTAGTGGACAAAGGAAAGGCTGTGGACGTCATCAACCTGGACTTCAGTAAAGCCTTTGACACTGTTCCCCACAGCATCCTCCTGGAGAAACTACCTTCCCAT